TTTAAAGCTGGACATATCTCGACAGCTATCTTATGATGATGGGCGGGATAGAAATCTAATAAAATAAATAAATAAATACATCTCCGGAGAAGATCCAAGTTTCCTCCCTGAAACCTCTCTAATCTCATTTCGGAGGCCTGGTGAGTTTGCCAAGTTTTGCACCTGATAAAAAAAATAATTTCAACCCTCCTTGGGGATAAGATCATATTCCTTATATTTCTTAGTATTTATTTAATGTTTCTCATCTACTATGCCTTTACTTCACAAACAGTAAGAAAGGAGCTCTTTTATTCGTTCAGGAATATTTATGTTGTGGGGGGAGTTACAATATTCAGAACAGCATGTGAAGGCATTATAGATTAAATTGTAAATCTCTGCATGCTGAAGTGGATGTAGAAAATGCTTTATTTGTCCTTTTACTGATTTATTTTTTGAGTGAATTGCAAACAGGGAATAGTATAAATATCTCATTCTTTCCTATATAATGGATTCTTTTAAACTGAACTAGCCCAAATGTCAGGGTAGATGTGTTCTGGATTTAAATACACAGAATTCAATGGACCTCCTCTGGAGATAAACAAATAACTTGGTAATAGGAATAAAATTCAAAATGATCTTGATAGGCTAGAGCCTGGGCTGAAAACAACAGAATGAAATTCAACAGGGATAACTGCAAGTTACTGCACCTCAGAAAATGAAATCAAATGCACAGTTACAAGATGGGGGATACCTGGCTCAGCAATACTACAAGTGAGAAGGATCTTGGAATTCTTGTAGATCACAAGCTGATCATGAGCCAACATTGTGAACTTGCTACAAAAAAGGAAAATGCTATTTTAGGCTGCATTAACAGAAGTATGGTTTCCAAATCCCGTGAGGTGCTAGTTCCTTTCTATTCAGCACTAGTTAGGTCTCACCTTGACTATTATGTCGAATTCTAGATACCACACTTCAAGAAGGATGCTGACAAATTGAAACAAGTTCAGAGGAGGGCAGGAAGGATGATCGGGGGCTGGAAACCAAGCCCTATGAGGACAGACTAAAAGAACTGAGCATGTTTAGCCTCGAGAAAAGAAGACACAGGGGTGATAACACTTTTCAAATACTTGAAAGGCTTTCATACAGAGGGGCAGGATCTGTTCTCGATCATCCCAGAGTGCAGGACACACAACAGGAAGCCAGATTTTGACTGAATATCAGGAAAAACCTCCTAACTGTTAGAGCAGTAAGACAGTTAAGCCAATTACCTCAAGAGGTAGTGAATCCTCTGTTATGGGCCAAAGCCCGTTTCCTAATTTGGTCTCTGGCAAGGGATCAGGCAAGACACAACCAGCTGAACCAAAATCCAGTTTTATTGAAAGCAATACAAAGTCAGCTGGGGACTTATTTTAAAAGCAGAGAAGACCCCAAAATACAGTGTTCAGATATTTTATAACATCCCAAACAAAGAGCCTAAAGTTCTACAATACTATTGGTCAGCATTAACCTAAAGTTTGGATCCTAAATCTAATTGGACAGCTGTGCCAAGGATTACAACATTATATTGGTCCCCTATACGTAGATATATGTAAAATGTCCCAATTCCCTTTTGGCCTGCCTCAGGAATGCGCCTCATTGTCTCGAGGAATATGTATTCCACCTTCCTTATCTATTGATAGGATTATGCTGCGTATGTAAAATGTCCCAGTTCCCTTTTGGCCTGCCTCAGGGATGCGCCTTACTGTCTCGAGGAATGTGTATTCCATCTTCCTTATCTATTGATAGGATTATGCTGCCTTCCTGTGCCTAAATTTCAGTCTCTGGCTCCCTGCTGGTTTTATGTTGGACTATCTTCTCATTGTTTTCTGGTGCTATTCCTAAACCTGGCCATCTGGTGGTTCAAAGATGAGTGAAAATGCCTTCCTCTGGCTAAGTGAGAGAGGCCTTCTTACTTCTTACTTCTAAAACTGTGTTTGAACATATCCAAGTATCAGCTCCAACATAAAATCCATTGTTGGCAGTATTGTTTTTGTGTAAGACTTAGAATTATAATCGGATCCATGTCTCAGATGTGTAGCAACAATTTTTGGCCTCTTTTCTATGTCTTCCTTCCTTCTTTGCACGATCCATGAAACGGTTGTGCTGGAACCTGAGGAAGTAGGTTTTCTCCACAAAAGCCTGCTATTTGTTTGATGATTTAGTGTATCGCCTGCTCTTATATTTGTGTGACAGGTTTGAGATAAACATGGAGAATTGTTAAATCCAGTTTTGTATAAAGCAGTCAAAGACTACAAGTAATTGTAAGGATCAATGCTAAGAAAATAAGTAAAATAAGAATGTATGCAGCTGGGATAATGCAAGACTCACATCAGCTCAGAAAGAAATCCCAGGATTGGCTAACCTTGGGATAAAGCAAGCAGATCCAGCACACCTACTCTGTGGTGTCAAGGTGTTGTGGTTGTGGAGAATACTGGAGAAGGACTCTGACTGCTGGACTGAATATTGAGGTGCTGTGGTGGAGTGTCGTCGTAGGGAATACTGGAGAAGGACTCTGACTGCTGGACTGAATATATGGTATATGACTACTGAACTGATTTACAAAGACTTTGACCTGATTTGTACCTGAACTCTGTTGGAACTGCTATGTATGACTATAGGAGTGGAAACAAGGACAAAGCTGTATGTGTATGTATATATTCTACAAACAAATTGAGTTAATACAACTTTTGTGCTATCAACCCTGTCTTATTGCTTGGTGTCTTCATCTCTCTGGGGAATTCTACTGGTTAGCGACACCTAGTGCCTCCTGGTAATACTGCAACTCTGTCATTGTGTAGTTATTACTACAGTATTTCTTTCTTTGGGCTGTTGCCCTGGCCACCACTGGCTTCAGCCCTGCCTATTTCTGGTATGCTGCCCGAGGCTCCAACTAGTGCCTCCTGGTAAAACTGCAACTCTGTCATTGTGTAGTTATTATTACTATTTCTTTCTTTGGGCTGCTGCCCAAGCCACCACTGGCTTCAGCCCTGCCTATTTCTGGTATGCTGCCCGAAACAGCTCTCTCCCCCACTGCCATTGTCCACTCCTGCTACACAGACTTATGCCCAAATCACCTGTCCCTCAGTGGGAGATGACTGGAAAGAAACAAGCAGAATGAGAACAGCAAGTCATGTAGGAAGGCAACAGGCCATTTCTGGGTGACACAAGTGGGGTGGCAGAAATCAGTCATTACTCAATCAATGCAAGATTGGCAGTGCTGGCCATATGACCAATTCAGAAATCCAGGCTGTGATTATATCTTCATTACACCAGCTAAAAAGGTTCTTCTGTGGAAGCTTTCATGATAATTTATTTAAAATATTTTTACCTTGACTTTTCTGTAAAAAAATGGAACTCTTCTTCATGCACAATGCTACAAAAAGCAGGTTTGTGGAGAGGGGAAGCTTTCTATTAAAACCATGTAGTCCTTACATTTTCCTATGATGTAATGGGGAAAGAAGTTACAAACACTTAAATCAGAGCTCATCGGGGTTGTGTTTCCCCCAAATGGTGCCTAGGTTTGATGGGAAGAAAGATTTTTTTTTTAGAAAAAGGAGGAACAAACTTGGAAACTTCATTTTGAAAATGCAAACAATCCCTGTGACACTGAAATCTGTCTCTGCTCAGTGCAAAGCTCACCATCCCTTTTGTAGGAAAAGTCTTTGGGCAGCTTTTGTAGTCACAGCTGGAGATGATTTTAAAGGCTAGATCATGTGAAACAAGCCCATTACAACTAATTTCAGTAGCTTTACCTTTTGTTGGAGGGAATGAACCCTTGAAGCATCCGGGTGTAGGTAGCATGAAAACCTCTCCCTCCTGTGCAATGTTTCACTGCAGAAATAGTTAAATTTGTTTTCCATGTTATACAAATGAAGGGGAAACTGATGGCTATGAGAGAAATTCAAAATCCATGTTGTGGATTTTGAAATTATGTTGGGCTATGCCTGCCAGCCACAACTATCTCTCTGTGTTGGCCACGTCCATTCTTCAGTCACATGAAGGGGTCCTATGTGGAAATAGGGGTCATGGCTGGTCCCTGATTCATCAAGAATGAATGTGGGCATCTTGCAGGAGGGGCACATTTCAGCAACTCTAAGAATATCATGATTGAAGGAAGGTCAGCATACTTCCAAGTCAAAGAGGATAATTAACATCCTAGGTAATCCCACAGCATATGTACTTTAGGAAAAAGAATAAAAGCAGCTGTATGACCTATATAGAAAAACAAAAGTCTGCCTTCTGTACTAACTTTATTGGATCACTAGGAAGGTATAAGGCTGGTAAGACTAAGTCTTCCAACAGACTTCTTTGGAACTATTTATTTATTAAAATATTTTTACCCTGCCTTTCTCCTTGAAAAGGATCCAAGTAGTACTAAAAATCAAGTCAAAGCAGTAATGCACAGCAATCCATTTAAAAATCACACACAAGTTACTGAGAGAAGGCTTGCCTGAGGCGAAAGGTATTTTGCCTGCTTGCAGAAGGATTGCAAGGATGGGGCCACTCTGGTGGTTGGGGGGGGGCGCGCGTCCAAAATCTGGGAGCAGCAAGAGAAGGCTCTTATCCTGTGTCCCCACCAAATGCACCTGTGAAGGTGGCAGAACCGAGAGAAAGGCCTAGATCTGTAAGACATTGATTTTGTAAACTTTGGAGGATTGAAGAAGAAACGAAAACGCCCTAAGTCCAATAAATCTAGCACGGTTTAATGCTATTGATCTTGGAAACAGCAAAAATGGTGACTGTTTTTAGATGTGTTGTTTTTCTGTTTGCGTGTTTTTTTAATAAATAAAAAAATTTAAAATATAGGACGAGAAAAATCCTAGAATTCAATATTCCTTGCTCTAATCAAGACCTAACATTAATGCGGCTTCTAATACGAAAGGCAAACCAAGGGTTCCGTTTAGACGTGGAATTGAACTGAGCTGAGCGACTTGCCGGGGCGATTCTTGCTTCCCGGAACATTCGTAGCGGCTGCGGTTCCTCCCGGCCGTTTACAGAAGAGCACACGCGCCGGCTAAGATGGCGGCTATCGTGGAGGATTCACGTGGAGAGAGAAAAGTCGCCGGCACCGAAATGGGAGAAAACGATAGTGGTAACGGGTTGATTTGGAGTGTGGGTTTCTGGAAGGAGTAAAGTTAGCAGGGCAGGAGCTACAGTAGAAAACTAGCGAGGAGGGCTTTCTTCCCTCGCATCTCGTGAAGGGTGCTTTGTAGCGAAGGAGAGAAAGTAAATTCATTGAAGACTATTTTAAAAGAACAAATTCACATCTTTCTCCTATCTGTTATTCCCTGTTTGACAGATTATATCTTACGCCTCCCTGATTTTCGCATTCCTATATTTTCCGTCGTTCAGTTCTATTCCGTTTCTTTTTTCTTCTGTGGTCTTATTTTCCCATCTGACGCTAACTGCGTTCCGGTAGCTCTTGATCGTCGTTTCCTATATCTGTTTCTTTGGATATTTCAGGAATATGAGATTTCTAAATGTTCGTCCTACGTGTGTAAAAACCAACTTCTTCCTCTCCTTCCACAAAGCGGAACAAGTGGCTTGGAGCAAAACGGAGGGAGGAGAAAACGTGGCCAAGTGGGATGATTATATGAATTGATATACTGTATATAGAACCCATGGAATTAAACGAGGTTTCCTTCTACGTGAGCTTGTACTGCTTTGTGCTAGGAGGCTAGAACGTATGTTTGTGTGTGTGTGTTCAAAGGAACTAGAACATTGTGCCAGAAGCTCCATTGGCTTTTGAGGGATTTGCAGGGAAAGATAATAGACATTGACTAATAGATCTGACAGATGGTTGTCCAATTTTGAAGTCTTGGGGGAGGCAGTTAAAGGCATATCAAGGCAGAATGGGTAGAGCTACCAAGAGGTCTTTGGATCGTTGAAGATACCAGAACTAGTTTTTCCTCCTGTTTCCATTTATCAAGACACTTTTTTGTTCCACATAAGTATTTGAATAAATGTTACTCTATCAGTTTTAATATTCTTAAAGTACTGTAGTTAAAAATAACTCCACTTTGGAGCTATTTAAAACAACTCTACAAAGTTATGATCTCTTCCTTTCCTTCCTTTTGCTTTCCATTCTCCAGATAAGATTAACTAAGTTCTGTATCTGTCTTCCTGTCAACATTTCTGTTCAAAAAAACTAGGGGAATTCTTAAATCAACATTATATACCATTAAGATGCATGTATGCACATGTCCAAATGGAATTATCATGGCTCATACTGAGCACCAGAGCATTGTTAGAAACATCTGCTTTGGTTTTAGAATTATAGCTTTGTAGTAGCAATTATAAAATGACTTCTTCATGTAGAAATGCTACACATATTTCTAGATTTCATGCAAATAAGATGTGTATTTCTGTAATGATTTAAAGAAGCTTTAAAAATATTTCTGAAGTATGCCAATGTTCACTGATTGCAGAGTTGAAATGAACTCTAGTGAGTGATGTGGAATAGTACCAGAATTACTAATGCAGTACTTTATTATTGCTGTTTGAGGGATTGAGAGGGTGCCCACCTTACACAGTTGCAGCAGTTTTATTTTACATTGGATGTGCTGGCTCTGTCCAAAGGAATCCTGGAATATGTTGCCCATGAGATCCCTACAATTCTCTGTGGGGAACTTGCAGATTCTCCCCTGTACAACAGCAGAGTGTTAAGTACCTCTCTAAACTACAAATCCCAGGATTCCATAGAATGATGCCAGGACACTTAATGTACTAAGTTGCTGACTGTAGTGTTGACATAGTTTAAATTCTGTATGAGAGATTCCAGACTATCGTTACTGAAATTATTTATTTATTTATTGATTTGATTTACCAGGACACTTAATGCACTGAGTTGCTGACTGTAATGTTGACATAGCCTGAGTTTTGTATGAGAGATTCCAGACTGTGGTTACTGAAATGATTGATTGATTGATTGATTGATTGATTTTTACCCTGCCTCTCTAGACAAATGTCTACTCGGGGCAGCTTACATAAGATAAAACACGGTAAAATAGCATATAAAATGCAATTATACAATTAATTTTAAGCAACAGATTTCCAAGAAGGCAATACTCAAAAGAAGAAAGAGAAAATCACTTAATTGACTGGGGGGAAGGCCTGTTTAAATAACCAAGTTTTTAATAGGCTTTTGAAAACCCCCGGTGAGGGTGCCAGCCGAATTTCAGCAGGGAGTGTGTTCCACAGCATTAATGTTAAATGTAAATAAAAATAAAATTTAGCAGTTGTAGTATTAGGTTGTGCTCTTAGTCCTTCCACCTTTCTTGTTCTTTGGAAACTGAAATTTACCAAAACAACCCCCCCCCCCAAAAAAATGGTAATGCACTGGCTGTTCCAGTTACCCAATGACCTCCTGAAACTATTGACCAGGAGGAGGAGTAATTGCAAACTATATTTGTTTCCTTCTGAGCTTTAGGTAGCTGGCATATGTTCTCTTATCTATTATCATGTAAATATTTGCAGAGAAATTTTGTAGGTATACAACAGCCATAGTTTTACTTCCTTAAGGAACATCTAAATAGGAGAGGTGACAACTGCAACCAAGTGAGGCCTTGATATGATGAGCAACTAACTTTTTTCTCTGCGCTTGGATAAATTTATTTGTAAACTACAGTGCTCAGAATTCCTTAGCTAGCATGGCCAGCTGTATACACACAAAAGTGTACAGTATTATGTCACAACTGCTCATTTCAGTTCACCTTGGTTTGGGGATTTCAACACTAGATGTCAGTGTTGCAGTTTTAATGTTGGGGAAAGAAAAAACAGAAATACACCCTGCCCCCATGTGTTTATCTTACTTAAAACACTTTAGTTCCACAGTGGACTTCCTCGCCCCCCCCCCATCATGGTTGAAAGCATTTTTTTAATTCCCCCCCCCATGATACACATACTTGTAAATTTCCTTGAAATGATACCTTTTTGCACATGTTTGGTGAGGGTATTGATTATAGCAGGAGGTGGTGACACATCTTTGAATTCCAGTAGCTTTTTAAAAAACAATATTACTTGGGGCAAATGTTCCTTGTTTCAGGGTATGGTGCAGATAGCAAAGCAGTAGCCTTTTAAAAAACAATACTACTTGGGGCAAATGTTCTTTGTTTCAGGGTATGGTGCAGATAGCAAAGGACTGAAAATGTCTGTTCTTCTTTTAGGTTCTGATTGGAGCTCAGACATTCCAGAGGACAGTTTTTCATCTGGGGACGAAGTGCTGGATGGTGATGATGAGGATGAGCCTACAACCCTGGACCCCAAAGTTCCCGATATGGCAGAGCCCAAAGACACAGGGAATGCTGGCTGGGCTGATGCTATGGCCAAAATTCTTAATAAAAAGACTCCCCAGAGTAAACCCATCATATTGGTTAAAAACAAAGCTCGAGATACTGAACGAGAAAAGGAAAAGCAAGAGAGACTGGAGAAGAGGAGGCAGGTAAGGAACAGATATAGTGTTAAATGTTAAATTCACCAATTGGGATCAGTACTAAAGAGACACTATGTGTGGATTGGCAGAGGAGAGGTGAGATGCACCTGTAATTGCCAACAGTTTTATAAGTGTAGCTGTTTTGCACGTATACTGAAGGAGCATTCCTGCCTTCCAGTAACTGTCCTGAAATCATGACCATGTTTTACTAAAAGGAAACCAAAACTTGGTTCTCCTTGAAGTTGACATCAAATTATCATTTATACCCCAAGTATTAAAACCTTGGATTCTAGTTCCACTCTTAAAACAGATACTTGATTATTATGATGCCCGAAAGATATTAAGTATGTTCATCTTTTTTTGTCACATTTCTTTGAAACAGCAAGAAAAAAGGTTTTTCCTACTCATTAGTGGTTGCTACTGTGTTTCTTGTTAGTTTGAGTCTTTGTCCCATGAGGGACATGGATTTCCAAGCCATGAAAATGATACCTGCTTTTCAGGTTGTATCGTGTATTGTCAAAAACAATTTGAGCTTCCTGTGTTGGCAAGTCTAAAGGTTTTCGTTGTCATTGTTTAGTCATGTCCGACTCTTCGTGACCCCATGGACCAGAGCACGCCAGGCCCTCCTATCTTCCACTGCCTCCCGGAGTTTTGTCAAATTCATGTTGGTCGCTTCTATAACACTGTCCAACCATCTCATTCTCAGTCGTCCCCTTCTCCTCTTGCCTTCACACTTTCCCAACATCAAGGTCTTTTCCAGGGAGTCTTCTCTTCTCATGAGATGGCCAAAGTACTGGAGCCTCAGCTTCAGGATCTGTCCTTCCAGCCTTTATGTATTTAATGCTGTTGACAACACCATGGTGCACAGACTTTATAGGATTAGTTGGCTAAAAATCTGGTATCCAGCTTTGCAAATCTGTTAATGGCTGTTTAATGATACTATAAACTGACCTGACTTGGAGTAATTCGCCAAGATACCCCAGTTTCAGCCAGTTTTACTCAAAGCTAAATCAGAAGAATTGTGGCCCCATCTTTATGTTTAAATATCATGTTTTAATAGCAATATGTGTTACCTGCAACACATTTAGGATGAGATCTTAATAGGCAAGGCTCTAAGGTAGGAGCCAGTCAGTTGTGCTCTCCAATCTGACTTTATTCAGTAAATACGTAGCACTCTGAAGATTGGTGGTGAGCTCTTGGTCTGTAAACTGACATATTCACCATGAAAAGAAAACAGCCTTCCCTTTATTGATTCCATGCTAATGAAACATCAAAATAGGGTTAATTGTGGGAGCAGAGGCCAGAGTATGAGTATGACCCTAAGTGGATAAATTTCATAACAGTGTGTCTGCCATTATGAAGGTGTGAGTTCTTTAACTTCATACAAAATTATTAATAATGCAGACTTGGTATTGAAATGGGCACAAATAATGTTACCATGTCATTCAGTTGTTTTAAGAAACATGGACATCTATTTCGCTAATGTTTGTGAAAGAAAAGCCTCTGAGTATATGTTTATATCTTATGGCTGACCAAATGTTGTCCTCTAATCATACAAAGCTATTCATGTCATCTATTAAAGGTTACCTACAAACAACTTGTCTAGTAATCTGGTACAAATGCTAAAGGAGTTTTAGAACAAATCCAAAACATATCTATTTAATCTGTTTCTCAAATTTACACACTGAAGCAGTTTTAAAAATAAAACCCTCTTAATTAGTTATGTTGATGTCCTCTTCATCCTAAAGCAAAACACAGATTTTGCTGGATTTTGTGTCACAGATTTGTCCAGTAAACTTGAAAATTGCACTGGATACCTATGTTTCCTTAAAATTGGATTTTTGCTGTTTTACATGTTAAATGATAGCATTGTTTTGGAAGCCACATGTAGTGTTTTTCTTAAAGGTACTGCTGGTTATGCATGCTGAGAAATACTTTGTGTCTCCAAAAAAACTTTGGGTAAATAGTTGCGAGACAGTTCAGTTTACGTGACTATAGTCTTGGGGTCACGAAGAGTCGTAAACGACTAAACAACGAGTCTTTCAAGATTTAATTGTGTTCCCAGTAAGCCAGTTCTGCAGTCCAGAGGCATTAAAAATAAAAGAGTAATTCTAGATATGCAGATAGAATGCTGGGATGTGAAATGTCCTGGACCTGGTGGAGAATGGGTCTTAAGCCAAACTGGACAAGACAAGAAATGTTTGATAGCTTTTCCTGCATTCTGAAACTCAACAATGTGTTGAGAGGCAGGTTTTAATTTCTTGTATCATGGATCTAGTGACAGTTTCCTCCTCTCCAATCTACTGTCTAATTCAGAAGAGAATCTGATATTAATCTTAATGGTAGCTTTTTTGCTAGGATGACTGACAGATTGGTGTGGGGAGTAATGTACATTGGCTCCTCAGTGAGGGAAGGAGTATCTCTGACTTCAGTAGGTGGTATGAATAAGGTACGTGCCATTAAATGGTGTATATGGTGGAAATGCATACAGAAATTAGATACTGCAGGATCTGATAGTAAAGACATTAGTTAATAATGGTCCAACAGTTTGATTAAACTCTGTCTGCACATGGTGAACCAGTCTACATGATTATGATGTCTTTGACTCCTGCTGGGAAGCAAGAGGTTGGTGTAGACATAGGTAGTGGGCAATGCTGCACATGGTATTTGGAAGGGAGTTGTTGGTGACATCTGAGTCATGCCGTAGATAGCCTTCAACCTCTGTTCTGTACATGTGTGTTTTATGAAAAGCTGCACTCCAGAAGTATATGTATACCAACCTTCCAAGTCAATTCTAAAATTCTATCCTCAACCAGATAACAGTTTTTAATTAGGTGCCATACAGTTTTTCAGAAAAACTGAACCCAGTCCTTCCCTGGGTTTATATCTAACTGGCAAACTTAGTTAAGAAGCCATTGTTTTCTCAGGCTGGCAGGAGAATTCCATCTTGAGTCTCCTCTACCCCTGTTTAGGAAATCTGCTTGAAGATCTGCAGTCGCTAATGCAAATGTAAAGATTCACTGGAGAGCCCATTATGTGAACATGAACCCCACTGACCTGCGAACACATGGCCTGCCCCTTGCAGAAATAATGCTGTTAAAACATAGGTGTGTTCTTTGCATCCTTGCCTAACACCATCCTACATGATTCATCAGCTTCACTTTCTTAAGAAAGATTTTATATAAATAAGCTGCATTTTTAAAATGCCTAATGTGCTCTCACGTACCAATATTTATGATGCAGCTTGATAAAAAGCGGGAGTGGGAAATGATGTGCAGAGTGAAGCCAGATGTTGCCAAAGACAGAGAAATGGAGAGAAACCTTCAGAGAATTGCCACGAGGTAAGAGTGTATGTTTGGGCTTTTGAAAAGAGATCTAAAGGCATGCCTCAGTAATCTGCTTCTAATCAAATCGAACTCTTAAGAAGTGACTCGTGGGAGTCAAATGATTTATACTTGGTTCTGTCTCCTGCAGTATCAAGTTCAACAAAAGATTCAGAAGTCTTTTGAGAGCATAAAATCTGGACGAGACTATAATGTGCTAAGTGTTCACCCAGCAGGAGTTCTGGGCCTTAGCTCATCGTTTTGTTAATTCCATGCTTAAAACATATACAGATCAATCACTTCTCCCACTCTTTGTATTTCTCTAAAGTGCATTCACCAAAACTGGCTGTTCTTGCGATCAGATTACTGTCTGGCATTAACCTAGTAGTGTATCTCATGGCTCTAGGCTAGCACACAGCCAGTGTGTTCTCTTGATCATATCACTGGACTTATTTTGACATCCTACCTCCAGAGAGGCAGTTTGAAAAACTTGCCTCTGGACTTTGCTTTGGTTGGTGTACGGAGCCGTTGGCCAACTCTTCTAGGGTGAACCATAATCTTGGGCCAGAATTTTCCATTGTTCTGAGCCATGTAAAGGCTGATTTATACAAATGTGGGGCACTTCTTTTCTCCATGGAATCATGTATTTCAGAAGAGTGTGGGATAACCATTTTAGGGTGTGTGATTTCACCAAAAGCAATAGCTGCAGTGGTTAATGTTACATGCTGTGTTTTCCCCCCATAGTTGTGTATTAAAAGTGAATAATGAAGATTCCTATGTCACATTGAAATAATTTAGAGAAGAATACGAAAGATGGTGGTAATAGAGCAGGAACTACGAAATCCTGCAAATAACTGCAGGTGACACACCTAAACCTTTATGCAGAAGAGTTTACTGCTATTCTGAACAAAAAGTATTTGATTGGAAGGATTTGTTTCTTCTGAATTTGTCAATCTTTTAACATTTTGTGTTATGGTACTGTTAAAACAGAAAAGTGCCTTACACATATTGGAGAAACTCATAGTCAAAAACACTAGCAAGCTGTTAATGTAGGCACGTGGGTATAAATGTATCATGTGCTGTGTGTATGAGAGGTCAATAAAAGCAGTTTTCAGTAGGAGAATGTCATCTCTATTCTGATTTGATGTAGAGAACCATGGCACATATCCAGATTCTTTGATTTGAGAGCAAAGGGAATTTTTCTGTCCTTCGAAGGGGGTGCACCCTGCACCTTCTCTAAAGATTAGAGGCTGTGGCTAACAGTAAACACGTTGCTTGAGATTTACAGGAGTGTGACATCGTCCAATAAATTACGAGTTGTTGGAGAGCATCTTGTTAAAGTGGGACAATAGCTAGTGCTTTTCTAGACCTGTCGCTGGTAGCTGCCATTTTCTAGATCTAGAAAATGAGGGTGATTCTGATTAGGGCATTCCGAGAGGTGTAGTCAAATCAAATAGCATTTTCCAACATATTGCTTACCATATTGCTAATAACATTGTTTTGGTAATAGTGGATTGGTCTCTGGGCCTAACTATGTTTTTAACCTCCAGGGGAGTCGTCCAGTTATTCAATGCGGTTCGGAAACATCAAAAAAATGTTGATGAGAAGGTGAAAGAAGCAGGGAGCTCTGAGAGAAAACGGGCAAAATTAATCTCATCTGTTTCAAAAAGAGACTTCATTGATGTTCTAAGAGGAATGGAAGGAACAGAAACAGAACGAAATATTGCAAGGAAGTCCTTGAAAAGCAACCAGGTAGGAGTAATATTTTCTGTTGCAGCAAAGTTGGCCATTTAGTCTGCACTTCCATGCGATTTTGTTCTCTTGGCATTCAGTGTTGCCACAGACAGCACCTTTTTCTGCCCACTTGATTGAATTGTCCCAGATAACTTCAATCATCCACCTATGTGGGAAAATGTAAAATGGACGCATGATACAGCAATTGAAGTGGTGATCTTTGTATGTAAGTTGGTGCTGGGCTGTTCTGAATCACATGCAAAGGCATTGGAAATGAGTTAACATTAAGCCGTCAAGTGAGGGGTAAGTAATTCTGCAGACTTTTTCATGTGTGCTGTTCACATGTACGCTGTGTGGCTGTCTTCTGCAATGATGTGATTTAGTACTGACAAATGAATTTTAAGTAGCTTAAGCAGCTGCCTAAAACAACTGAATGGTTTGCTTTCCTTCTGTTAAGGACATAGCTTTCCAAACTTTTCCTAATACTGAAGCAATCCATCAAATAAATGGCCTTACTTTTGGCATAATTAAGGCCCTCATTTAGGTCTCATTTTTAGAAGAGCACTAGGGATTTTGTTGCAGACCTTCAAGGAGGCAGCCTATCTTCAATATCATAGTTGCTCTATGTACATTTTCCTTTCTTTATGCTTCTCTGCTTTAGTTATTGCACATTCTGTCTTTGATGTTTTAATCTTTTTGGGAAGCAGTTGTAGAACTTGAGGTGGATGATGCATCCAGGCATCAGTGAGGCTTCCATTTTGATATTAGACAAAAGTCTATGGATACTGTCTTTACAGAAGTTTGCTTCTAATCACGCACTGCCATTCCTGCTTTTCGTCGATCTGTCTTTGCTTCAAAGTGGATCTCTTTATGGTTTTGGTTGGGAGTGGTGTCACCTTGAAATGGTGGGGTGAGATGACACCCACCCTTCCCTGTTTGAACCACAAGGCACCTGTAATTGACTATCTTTTACATTTCCTGTGCAAACATTGCATATGTTTTGAACCCCTGGTTTGTGCTAACCGAGAAACTATACCATGGTTTTGAACATCTAAACATAAATAGGCAAACCATGATTTAAATCGTCTTTATTTGTTTCCCATTTGTTCAGCATCCAGCTTCATAGATCTTTCCTCCCTCCCTCCCTCCCTCTGTGATTTAAATCTGCTTGTCTTTATTTGTTTCCCATTTATTCAGCATCCAACTTCATAGATCCTTCCTCCCTCCCTCCCTCCCGACTTTTGCTCTGCATGCATTTGCAACTCTGCACATGTGTGGGGTTCTGTTGCGACTGGAAACAAAGGGGCTGCTCAGAGGAGGAGGAAAGCTGTGCACCTTACAGGGAACCTTGCTGGGTTGTCATTCATGGGTAGCATTTATACATGCTGCTGCTAAACCAATCACAGGCCTTTTGTCTTATGGTTTGTTTATCATGATGTTCACATTGGGCATTTTGGCTTCTCTTCCCCAAATAAGTCAGTCTCTTAGCCAACATGAGCAACTTTTTTGTGTAGAGGCAAGCCAGAATCCTTTACATGAACAGGTGGTTTATTTTTCTTTATTTTTCTGATTGCAAAGTAAGATAAAAGGGAGTGATCAGGTAACTTCAGCTGTGCTTTGTTCATTACTGATAAGCCAGGATTTCACCACTGAAGGGCCTAAGCCATTATGTAGGCATACTTATAATAAGTATATTATTAGTTGACTCTCAAAGCCAGTGATCTGATCCAGCATCTGAGCATGGGCCAAAAAAAAAAGTTTGGCATGACAAGTTGGAAAGACTCATTGTCCTGTGAAAAGCTGCCTTTCCTACGCCATATTTAACAATTGCCATTGTCTCTCCTGGGATTTTGATTTTAGGTCTAACCCTGGGAAAATAATTGGTTACATTGATTTGAATTATGATGAAGTTCTTTCTGTAATGCTTCATTTTATTGTATTTAAAGCTATGTGGAGCTATTTCCCTTCTCATTACCTGTTTGAACTTAGCTGCACAATTGATGCTGACAGCCAATCCCTTCCAAGAGAAATGTGTGTTCAAAAAGTCATGTGAGGACAAAATATGTTGGATCAGTCAGATTCTAAAGGGAGCAGGACCCAGGATTTGAGAATCTAGAATTTCAGAAGCTACATGTTTATAAGGCATATTTGCGTTCATGCTTGAACTTTGTGCTTGGTAGTGGGTGGAATACTTCTTTTGGCCCCAAGCCACTGGAGTTAACTAAACGCTTTCCTGTGCCAGCAAGAAATACTTTAATCAGTCGGGAGACAACAGTTTGTCATGTGTTCTTTGTTTAGCGTGCTTTTGGGAAGCATGCCGAAACACTCCATGGCATGAAGAGCTCTCTGAATTTAATGCAAGTGTATGACTGAAGTATTTTAAAAATTACTGGATCATAAGAATATTCTAATCCATAGCCAGATGTTTCAATTCATCTTAAATTTGTCTTGTTTGCTTGATTTCAAAGACTGAAAGAATCAGAGTAGTAATCATGTTGTAACAGAAGTTGTTTACTAGCCATGCTGCTGTTCAGAATCATAATACAATGGTGTCTCGACTTACAAATGTCCCAACATATGACCATTTCGAGTTACGACCAGCTCCGTCCGCAAAATTTTGCTTCTACTTGCGACCAGAACTTCGAGTTATGAATAGAAAAAAGGGGGGAAAGGTGGGGAATTCCAATTGCTAACCATTGGTGGTGAAGAGGCTGCTTCTTTGTAGCTCTTTCGCCCCAGCAGTTAGAGAGTGTACAATCAGAAGAGGCTTCGGACTGCCTGGTAAGGTAAGGTGCTGCTTTGTGCTTTTTAAAAACTGTTCTGGGTGGGTTTTGCAGTGTGGTTTTGGGCTGGGGGGGATTATGTTTCTGTGCTGTGATGGGTCTTGCAGTCTGCTTTTTGGGTTTCTCTTGTTTTTGATGGGTATTGCAGGGTTTCTTTGTTTTTTTCCCCCATTTCTGATGGGTCTTGCAGGGTTTGTTTGCTTTTTGCTTTGCTTTTTTGTATTTCTGAAGGGTCTTGCACAGTTTGCTTGCTTTTTGCTCTCTTTTTTTTTACATTTCCGAAGGGTCTTGCACGGTTTGTTTGCGTTTTCTTTGCTTTTTTGCATTTCCAAAGGGTCTTGTACAGTTTTATTTGCTTTTCTTTTTTTCCTTTGGCCGGAACGGATTACTCACGTTTCTGATGAGTCTTGCACAGTTTGTTTGCATCTTGCTTTCCTTTTTTTTTCATTTCCAAAGGGTCTTGCATGATTTGTTTCCCTTTTGCTTTGCTTTTTTTTGCATTTCTGATCACATTTCCAATGGGTCTTGCACTGTTGTTGTTGTTTTGGTTGCTGTTTTTGTTTTGTTTGATTTGGGGGTTTTTTGGTGATTTTTTTTTTCTTTGACTAGAATGGATTAATTGCATTTCAGTGCATTCCTATGGGAAATGGTGTTTCGACTTCTGACCATTTTGAGTTATGACCAGAGTTCCGGATCCAATTAAGTTCGTAAGTCGAGGCACCACTGTATGTTGGTTGGTATACCCTCAGTTAAAACTGATGTATAGGCAAGCTGTACAGTCTGTATTGTGGGTAAAGTTGGCTCATTGGCTGTCAGCAGACTTAGTTTTGCCACTAAATAAACATCAGGCTACCTAGAATGGTAGGCTTGGCTGAAGCCATATGGAAGGAATAACATAAAACAGGGGCATAGTACAGGAAAGTTGTACAGTGATGAAGACTGTAGCTCTTGTGGCCTGGTTCTGTTTGGCCTGCTGCACTCTGAAATGAGGAGAGATGTAAAGTTCCTGTTTTCGCCTTCTGATTGCAGTTTAAATGAGGAATACACAGATGGGCAACCATACGCAGGTGTATTTTGTACAGTATGGTATGGATTATTACCCAGTGGAGGCAATTATTTGACGAGGTAATCAGGGTGGATTTGATTTAAATCATGACTTAAATCACAATTTCAATTGAAAATTGATTTTTTAACAATTTAAATAAAAACATCAATTTTTAAAATTTAGATTATATTTTAATTTGTGATTTAAATCAATAGGGTTTTAAATAATCATTGCTTTTTATCCACTCTACAGGCAGTGTATCTCATGCATGGTACTACTGATAAGTACAAACTGCCACCAGTAAGCGAGAAACTAGGTTAAACCTGTTGGTTACCTTTGCTGCCTCTGTTTAATAAAGATACAAGCATGAACAGACTATGAAATTCTGGATTTTATATCATGCAAGTTGTAGACGCATATAACTGTTTCTGTAACTACTGTATCAGTCTTCTGCAAGAGGATCATAACTTGCTGGAGATTGCTGCCCAGCACATATGAAGGACCCCATGTTGCAGAAAGCTGATCTAGATTGTTATGGATATTCTCCACTCCTGCTTTCTTACAACTGAACTACAATTTCCAGGAAATTTCTGAGAGTTATAGTTCAGTAACAGAAACCTGCATATCTTCAGAGCCCACCAACCCTTTCCAGAACCAGAAATTGAAGTAGTAGGAGATGACGTTTATTTTGTTTCTTAGGGACAGTAGAAAATGAAGTCATACATGAAGATTTTTAGAAAATGATTTGTATTACATCTTCTTATGCTCTGACAGGGGTTCTTCTCTGCTTCACAAATGCCTTGAGATTTCTTCAATTTTTTAGGACCTAAACCAAATCTACAGTGAAGCACAGTGAAATGATGCAGTCAAGAAGTTGTGGAAGACAGTCTCTACCACTGCAACACAGTGTTTCACTACGTGGTGGCAAACCTTTGGCACACCAGATGTTTTGGACTAGAACTCTGGGAGTTATACTCCAAAATATCTGGAGTACTAAAGGTTCACCACTCCTGCACTACAGCAAATCTGACCCTCTAGATATCATTGGACCACAATTCCAATCATTGCTCATCATTTGCTGTGCTAGTTAAAGCTGATGGGAGTTGTAGTCCAACAGCATCTGGTGGGGGCTGCAGGCTGTCTACTCCTTCCTTTCCAAGACATACTTGTTTTGTTGTGTTGTGTTTTGA